TTCATTTTTTATTCAATCAAAGCAAATTCAATATGTAGAGTGCAATTTCTTGATATTATATGTTATATACCTCATTTGTATTTTTTATATTAGTTCGTTTTAAGAGTATAATTTAAACATTGTTCATAATTAAATTATAGTTTTAGCATACTCTATAAGATTTAAGAAAAAATAATTTCTTCTCAAATTGTAATTTAATTTTCTTCTCTTTTCATGGTTTTTAGTATCCTCTATTTTGCTTCTTGAAGAATTTCTTAGCTAACCTTTCTCCCATGTACAAATATTGTCGAGTAGTCGCGTGTTAGGTGTTAGGTATATGTATGGATAGGGCATATGAAAATGTTTATTAAATGTCATGGATAGTACCGAACCCGAATTGGAATTGATGGTTTGGGTTTGGATAGGTTCCGATAATTATAAGGATTTAAATGGTTCCATTTATAAAATACCCAAAATATAAAATTGTAATACTTAGATCGATTCATTTGACGTCCAGACCTAATATAGCATATAATAATTTGGTAATTATGTTGATCTAAATCTTAGCTCCCGTTGGACAACTAAGAGAAACTGGAGGAAAATAATATTTTTTATAGTGATTTTTTAGAGAATGTGAGTTTATAAAGTTAAAAAAAATTAAATTATGTATAGAATATTTTTTTGTATAAATGTATGGTTGAAGGAATAAAAAATTTTGCTTCAATATGGAGTCAAAGGGGGCTTAATGAGTCTCGTTTATTGCACATTTTTGTTCAAAGAACGCATTTTTTTAATGTGACGAGGAATATGTGGTCGAAAAAGAAGGAAAAATTATTGATGTGATGGAAAATATTATTTTATTAAAAAATATATTGTTAAAAATGAGAATGAGAAAAATAACGTGACTCAAATCGAGCAGAATTTCACGAAGATGCTTAAAATGCGAATTTTCATGGTTCCCAATTATCGACAATCATTCAACTGTCCAAGAAACATTAAATTTAATTCCTATGCTCAATTCAAGTACCATGTGAAAACATTAATTATGTTCGATTCCGTAGGCCCATCATGGGATCCTTCAAGAATTGAATTCTTTTTTACAATTAACTTCAAATCTTGACGTCATGATATTAACGACGTGTTTGGTATCCATTTGGAGTGTATTATAAATTTTAGAAGAGTGATACTGAAAGAATGTATGATTAAAAAGTATTAAAAAATTTTAAATTTATGTGTAATGCTATTTTAATTGAAAAAAATTGCGAAAAAAAATTCAATCACTTATAGTT